GCTCCAGGGTAGGCGTCATCTCGTAGGCCTGAATTACCACAGATCTTTCGATTTTGATCCATCGGGTTCACTGACTCCTGAGAGATCCAATGCCTTCGGCGAACTTCGGGCTCAATCACACAAGCCAAGTGTGCTGCTGAGAGCATCGCAAATTTAATTTGGTCTACTCCACTTTGTTCTCCTAGCTCCCTTCCCAGCTTCTCATAACACGCGCAGACAGATGGATTCCTTTGAAGGATAACATCCTAAATCGGACAGTCGATCGGCGCACATTTATAAACGCTATGTGGATGGCATTTTGTGACTTGTCAATGGCATTGCACACCTGTCAAGACTCTTGAAAGAATTTGATTCAGCTCGTCCAAACATTAAGTTTACTCTAGAGAACGAAGAGAATAAGCAGCTCGCATTTCTGGACGTTCAACTAAAAAGTTAATCCGACGGAAATATCCAACGCGTCATCCACAGGAATTCATCGTGGAACAATCAGTATATCTATGCGCCTTTGGAACGGGTAAGGAACCTGATTCGATGCCCCGCTACTCGGGCGCAGAGAATATGTTGGGGCGATACCATCGATACAGAATTGAGGTTCATTCGAGATTTTTTCTTTAAAAACAAATACCCAGAGCTATTTGTGGGCAACATTTTGGAACGTCACCGGAAGCGAAATAAGACCACTACTACGGAGAAGAAAACGGTTTACATAGTTATAACTTTCAAGGGCAACACAACTGCGGAGACGGTGACATGTCAGCTGAGTACAGCTGTACAATAAGCATTCCCCGCAGCAAAACTGCACATTTTGTTCATCCCCAGGTCACTTTTGTACCTTCAACTCAAACATAAAGTGCCTGTGTCTGCCACCTTTCTTTGCGTACAAATTCACCTGCTCCTGCGGGACAAGGTACATTGGCCGCACGAACAGATGTGTATTTGAACCAGTAGGTGAGTATCACCCGGCCTGGGGGAATAGTGGAGTAATTAGGGCCATCACAGCTCAATCGTTTCACACCAAGTGGAGTCAAACCACGTGGTTGGTATGACCGAGGCGTTTCGACCCATCTAATTAGTCCGCAGTCGTTGATCTTCTGGGGTTAAGAGTCGAATTCTGGCCACAGCGAAAGCGATCGTATTCCGAATACATAATCACACTCCAGCCATATGCTCCCAAAAAAATTCGTAAGGACACTCGGTCTTCTATGGCCAACATGTACGACAGTCTTCCTCCCACCCGCCCCTAATGACTGGAACCAATGCGTGTGCGATGACCAACGTGTGAACAACATCCGATCATGGAGCTGGAATGATGAGGATTTCTCTTTCCATTTTATCATGTTTACTCCCCCCTACTAAACATTTTGGTATAGATGGTGATGCATTAGCCTGTAGATGAATCACCGCAGACGAGCTTGTTCGCTAATCTGTGTTCGGCGATCAAGATCCTCTTAGTCGATTTCAAACAAAAATAGTGTCGCTGAAATCCACTAAACATCATTTATGCACACTTTCTACGGATATCTTAGACCAGATAACATGTAAAAGAGACACCCTCGTACCGCTTTTACGTGTCACTTAAGGTGGCGTTCAAACACAGATGCATCCGTCTGAGTGAAGCTAGTTCTGGGGTTGACTGGTAAGAGAAAAAGCTTTCCTTTCGAGGAATGTGGAAATCAAACCTTCACTGGGTGGCTGAATGTGCACTATCGATTAATTGCACTAGTGTTTCCTGAGTGTTCGGTTTCACTACTAGGTGAGTTGTAGGAGAGGCGCAACTGTTACAAATCGGCCTTCGGAGAGCAGCTCTCCAATCACCTATCAGTTCAACCACCAGCTGAAGGACTATATGAACATTGGAAGCAAATCAGACAAGCTGTGCAAATATCAAT